GGACTTTCACACTGAGTTCCGAACACATCATAGGAACTGCAAGGGTTGGTTGCGCCTTGGTGGGATAGTTTTCATCTCCCAAACCCGATGCTTTAGTCCTCTGAACAGAATGACCACGTCGAAACGTTAGGCCCGTTATATAAAGTTTTCCACCTACAAACCTACAGGCACAGCAATATAAACGAATAAAACAAAGATGGCGAGGTTACAACAAGAGCTGCAGAGTAAATAAAGTATTTGATAGCCCGTTTCTTGTCAAGCTCTCAGTCAGCGCCTCTTATTATGCTGAGGATTTACCACACAGATTCACACCCAATGAAAATCAAAACCGAAGAGAAGTGAATCACACATCCTCTGAGGTATATAAAATGAAAGGGAAAGAGCATAGAACAGCCTCTAAATGGAACCAAGAAAATGGAAGAGCATTGAGGACAATCCGGGACGCAGTTCTGAGGAAGAGTAGTGTATTTCAGCGCTTGATCAATGCTGATTAATGATCGAGCTTTTGCGTTACATTGAATCACTATAGATGTGAATGGAGCAGTCTCCAAAGGAATCGCACAAAACTCCCACTACATACCAACACTAGCATAAGACTGCGTTCATAGTATGCGTCAGCATTTTGAGCGCGCCGGGCGTACGTCAGCGATTTGTGCGTTTTGAACGAGTAGACAAGGCTACGTGATCCAGCTTTCGTTTTGAGCGTACATAAGCGTTTTCAGTGACCAGAAAGTGTACATATAGATCAGCGTACGCCCAAAACGCTACATCGCTTTCTACTACTTCCCATTACTACTATTGCCCAAAACGCTACATCGCTTTCTACTACTTCCCACCGCTCGAAACGCGCCGCACGCTCAAAACGCTAACACAAAGTACGAACGCAATGCATATCACAAAAAAAGCACTTGCTCACCTTCGGCTGAGACTGTGGAGGGAGGTGAACCAGCTTATTTCCCTCAAGCGTGATTTCCTGATCAAAAACGAGTGGCGTGGTGGCAGCATGTTTTCCATGGATCACTGCCGATTCTGAATACCTGGCTGTAGAGCAAAGAAAATAAGATAATTAAGCGCGTTTTGCTGCGCACGGGAATAGGCGACACAGGTCTTTCGAGAAAACAAAACTGACTCAATACAACAGTGGTGGGTAGAGCAACTTCAACAGGCGTTGTTCCTTCGTTCCTAGTAACGGTCACTCACTCATCTCACTTACGAACAGCGGAGCCGCGGAAGTGGCACCACTTCTGGGATTGCGGACGGACCCGACTACCTTGCTCAGAAAAGAGATCCTACCCGTCTGGTGAATGCGAAATGTCAGTATGTAGTAACATCTACATCAATTCGAAAAAAAAACGTGTGAAGCAGCATAGTTGAGTTGGTATTCGCACTTCATTCGCATTATCAGCTATCCCTGTAGAGCAGAGTGAGTGAGTGAGTGAGAAAAACTGCAGAGCACAAGGGTATGCTGCTTCTTTCACGAAACGTATTTACAGAAATTAACTAAGCACATCCATAGTAAGTGAAGGTCTAACAGTAAGAGACGAATACCAAGGAGGGGGAGGGAGCGTTCTGAAATCCTTCTGCAGAGCTGGGATCAATGTCATCTGAACAGATTGCTGACTGGTCAGGCCCTCCCAGAACTCTTGTTGCTTCAGGCTCTGGCGAAATCGAGTTTCAACATAATTATGCGATAAATTCTACTGGCAAAAACGACTCTCTTAATGCTCCAAAGTGATTAAGAGCGAGAAAACCGTTTCAACTCTAACTGTGTATTGCGTACACACAAATGATAATAGTGGACGTTATAATTCTTGGTATTGGCAGACCGCTGTGCCTGTCATAGTCGTTAATCTCCTATAATTGTTAATGCTTTAGGAAGTTTAGATAATGTGTGGGCGGAATACACAAGAACTTTTCTTAATAACATTCACTTTGTTTACTTCTACTTCTTTCTTATGATATACTGACGAAATTACGTCTCTTCCAGTCAGCACGATGCTGCGAACTCCTCTCCAAAGCTTCTTCTTCTACAACCCTGGCTCGATCCTAAGAGCTGCGGAGGACGGAACAAAGGCTCACCCGCACGAAGCAGCTTCGAAATCTGAGGCGAATCGTTGACTAAAGGAAAAACTTGTCTGCACAGTCCGCCTTCAACATAAAAGTGCAGGTCACAAGAAGGTCGAGTACCTCATGCAATAGAGCGCATGATCCTCCCTTTACATCGGTGTAGCCCAGACACTGCTCAGTAAATGGGTGTGCTCAATTTTCCGAGCAAACCCATTAAGTAGTCGAGACAAGCTTCACGACCTGAGCTTAAGTCAAAATCGAGATGACGTCCAAATCCGCGTCGCGCCGGTCTGCATTGTGGCGATGACATCCATGACATCCAGGGAGGTCAAAAACTAGCACAATTCTCACAATAACATTGCTGTATATTTTTGATCTCATACGCCTCTTTATGAAAAGGAAGCCTAATTCAAAAAATGACAGAACCTTCCCGCCAACCTAATACATACAGTTACTGATGACACCTTCACAGAAATCAAAAAGTTTTCACCTGAGGTTGTTCTGTTTCTTGCCAGTCGAGAATTCATTGCGCGACTTGTTGATGCCGAGAACTGAAATTTGAGAGAAACAATTACTTCGTGAAGCTATGAAAATCGATAATAAGGAATGAGAAATTAGAAGAAAAAATGGGAAAAAATTCATTCAGTCTGTAGAATATTAGTATAACGGACATCAGAACAAGCTAAAACTTGGAAATGCATTGAAGTCGCTCTCAAATGTAACGCTTCCATCAAAAACTTTAGGCAAGCAAGGCTATTGGAGATTTTGGCTATTGGAGATTTTGTCGAGATCTGAAGTTTATCCAGTTATAATGCTACATAGGAGATTTCGTGAAGATGAAGTTCGTGTTCAGTTGTGTAATCTGGTTTTAACTTGGTTGTGTTGTAGTTTTATTTTTTGAATATGCCTTGCACGCAACTGAATAAATAAATAAAAAAATAAAGGCACCTCAGAGAGGATCGAAAGCCTCCATCACAAATAATTCCTTTCGCACTTGGATTCTTCAACTTGAAAAAGACGATATGACTGCATTTTTTATCAAATCTTAGCTCTTCTCTCGGAATATCTAGAACAGTGTTGCTTACACTGAAGATAAACCCCACGATTGTATACAGTGCATAGTATAGTCGAGTGGAATTCTCTTACAAACGTTACATTGATGACGTGTTTGTTATTGGAAGAACGGAAGAGGATCTTGTGGAAACCTTGGAGAGACTGAACTCACACGACAGGAACATAACCTTCACCAGAGAAGATCCAGGGAGTGACGGCTTTTTGCCGTTTCTCAATACGAAAGTTCGGATAAGTGAAGGTCGAAAGGAACACCTGTGGTATAAGAAAGAAGCCTCGTCGAATATACTGTTGCATTCCAGAAGTGCACACCCGATATATATGAAGGCAAACGTCGTGCGTAACTTGGTCAGAACGAAGGAGAAGCTTGGGACGCGTAGGGATTCAGATGTGGACGCGAAGGTCCAAAACATCCTTGAAAGCAACGGATATCTTGAAGTGCCTTTCAGGACCTGGTGCCCACACACGTCACCTGATGGAATAACCTTAATGATGCCTTTCGTTAACGACAAAATGGCACGTCAGGTGAACCGCGTCGTGAAGAACTCCCAGCTTCCCATTCGTCTCGTCTTTTCGTCCTCCCCCAACCCTGAAAACCCTCCTCACATCTTCGAGGATTTATGAAAATCGGTGCCACGAAGAATCTTGTCGATACTGTACATCCGAAAAGATTTGTGAACTTCAAGGCACTGTTTACCTGATTCAATGCAGAGGATGTGGAGAAACGTACGTGGGGGAGACCGCACGACCTTTGAGGAATCGTCTGGACGA